CACACACACACACACACACACACACACACACACACACACACACACACACACACATACATAGCAACAGTATATCACACTCGTACCTCTGTTTCAGTTACACAGGTATACACGCCTTACTAATATACACAAACATACACACATTCTCATACACTTATCTACACTTTCTTAAACATCTGTTAAAATTAAATTATATTGTACGGGCAATGAAAAGGAAATAAATTCTTAAGTAATAATATTGACTGAATTCTAAATAAACCAAATGTGGAATGTTGTTATACAGTATTTTCAAGATATCAATAATGAGAAACATGATGATACAAATAAGTGACAAGTGAGAAACACTTGTATTAGATAAGGCATAAAAGACTCTTGCAAGTTATCTTGCGAAAAGTAAAGAGTTGTCATAAAAATATTTGTTAAATAAGTCTATTTCTGTTTTTTTCACATCTTCATTTCTCTGACTTGTTTATGAAGACTAGAACATTGATAACTACACACTCGCACTCTCAGATAAAAAATAACTACACACACGCACTCTCAGATAAAACATTAATAACTACACACTCGCACTCTCAGATAAAACATTGATAACCACACACACGCACTCTCAGATAAAAAATAACTACACACACGCACTCTCAGATAAAACATTAATAACTACACACTCGCACTCTCAGATAAAACATTGATAACCACACACACGCACTCTCAGATAAAAAATAACTACACACACGCACTCTCAGATAAAACATTAATAACTACACACTCGCACTCTCAGATAAAACATTGATAACCACACACACGCACTCTCAGATAAAAAAAATAACTACACACACGCACTCTCAGATAAAAATGATAACTACACACCTCGCACTCTCAGATAAAAAATAACTACACACTCGCACTCTCAGATAAAAAATAACTACACACTCGCACTCTCAGATAAAAATGATAACTACACACTCGCACTCTCAGATAAAAAATAACTACACACTCGCACTCTCAGATAAAAAAATAACTACACACTCGCACTCTCAGATAAAAAATAACTACACACTCGCACTCTCAGATAAAAAATAACTACAAAACTCGCACTCTCAGATAAAAAATAACTACACACTCGCACTCTCAGATAAAAATGATAACTACACACTCGCACTCTCAGATAAAAATGATAACTACACACTCGCACTCTCGGATAAAAATGATAACTAACACACTCGCACCTCTCAGATTAAAAAATAACTACACACTCGCACTCTCAGATAAAAAATAACTACACACTCGCACTCTCAGATAAAAATGATAACTACACACTCGCACTCTCAGATAAAAATGATAACTACATACTCGCACTCTCAGATAAAAATGATAACTACATACTCGCACTCTCAGATAAAAATGATAACTACATACTCGCACTCTCAGATAAAAATGATAACTACATACTCGCACTCTCAGATAAAAATGATAACTACATACTCGCACTCTCAGATAAAAATGATAACTACATAACTCGCACTCTCAGATAAAAATGATAACTACATACTCGCACTCTCGGTTAAAACAATGATAACTACACACTCGCACTCTCGGATAAAAATGATAACTACACACTCGCACTCTCGGATAAAAATGATAACTACATACTCGCACTCTCAGATAAAAATAATAACTACACACTCTCACTCTCAGATAAAAATGATAACTACACACTCTCACTCTCAGATAAAAATGATAACTACACACTCGCACTCTCAGATAAAAATGATAACTACACACTCGCACTCTCAGATAAAAATGATAACTACACACTCGCACTCTCAGATAAAAATGATAACTAACACACTCGCACTCTCCCGATAAAAATGATAACTACACACTCGCACTCTCAGATAAAAATGATAACTACACACTCGCACTCTCAGATAAAAATGATAACTACACACTCGCACTCTCAGATAAAAATGATAACTACACACTCGCACTCTCGGATAAAAATGAAAAACTACACACTCTCACTCTCAGATAAAAATGATAACTACACACTCTCACTCTCAGATAAAAATGATAACTACACACTCGCACTCTCAGATAAAAATGATAACTACACACTCGCACTCTCAGATCAAAATGATAACTACACACTCGCACTCTCAGATAAAAATGATAACTACACACTCGCACTCTCAGATAAAAATGATAACTACACACTCGCACTCTCAGATAAAAATGATAACTACACACTCGCACTCTCAGATAAAAATGATAACTACAACACTCGCACTCTCAGATAAAAATGATAACTACATACTCGCACTCTCAGATAAAAATGATAACTACATACTCGCACTCTCAGATAAAAATGATAACTACACACTCGCACTCTCAGATAAAAATGATAACTACACACTCGCACTCTCAGATAAAATGATAACTACACACTCGCACTCTCAGATAAAAATGATAACTACACACTCGCACTCTCAGATAAAAATGATAACTACATACCGCACTCTCAGATAAAAATGATAACTACACACTCGCACTCTCAGATAAAAATGATAACTACACACTCGCACTCTCAGATAAAAATGATAACTACACACTCGCACTCTCAGATAAAAATGATAACTACATACTCGCTCTCTCAGATAAAACAATGAAACTCTGGTGAAGAAAATGAAATCTTCAGTCTGGGAGACTCGACGTCCTGACAAGAAATAATTTCAGCGACGCATCTTATAACTTGGCCGTCATGTCTTCTTGTTAATGTATCTTACAATATTATATTTACTACTGAAGTATGTTCCTCTACTGTTACTATATATGATTGTTTTGTTATTGTATGTTGTTGTAGATAGCTGAGTGTTGCTGTACTGTTGTATGTTACTGTGCTGTTCTTGTGTGTTACAGCACAGTTCTCGTCTGTTCTTTTACTGTTTTCTTGGGTTTCTGTACTGTTTTTATGTATTACTCTATTTGTTTTGAAAACAAATACAATATAGTGATTGGACCATAATGGTCCTATGTGCGGATTATCTGTGTATTGTTCTTTTGTAACAGCATTGTTTTAAAGTTATTATACTAGCTACCATACTGTTCATCATATTACTGTTCTTGCATGTTAGAGTATCGTTGTTCTGTGTTACTGTATTTTTCTTCTGTGTCACTGCACTGCCTGTGTGGTTTACGGTACTTTTTTATTTGCTAGTGTACTGTTCTTGTTTGTTACCATTCTTGTATGCTGATGTACTGTTCTTACATGCTGTAGTTCCCTATAACATCTTCCACAAGTGTCTCCCGTATTGACATTCATGATTCCCAAAACTATTATGTTGACTCAAAATTCCCAAAACCTTCATTTAACACTTCTCAGGATCCATATTCTTCCCTCATCAACACTTATCTCTCCAGTACATTAATAATACAAATAACACTATATACAACACACAAAACACTAACTCTCCAGTTATAAAGTCGACCATCATGGTTGTCTCCATCTTTTGATACAACATATTTCACCAGACGATCCTGCAACCTTGCAAATTCACTTCATTATTTATTTCTCTTATGCTGCTGTTTTACACACATGTTTCTATACTGGACATTTGCAACCCTAGCAACAAAAAGGTATTCTTTTGCAACAATTCGCTTCCTTTGTATGTTTAACCTGTGCTAAGTTATGCTGATCCGTATATCCTCTGCCCTCGTTAGTCTCTGTCAGGTCTTCATTAATTAAACATTGTGTTGGACATCAGTGTATCAGTCACAGTTCTGATATACACATTGTCTGGTATACTGAGCAAACAATACACAAACATCTACTGTTTATTTTACTTAAAAAACAATATTTTGCAATACTGACTAGCACAGTGTTCATCTGTTGATGAACACTGTTTAAGTTATTCTCGTCTCTTTACAAACGATTAAATCAATTAAAACTCGGAAATTATTATACTACAGCAACAAGGCAGGGATAGTTTCTACAGTTTTAAAGTTTTCTTCCAACATTGATAAAGTCTTTACGAGTAAAATATTAAAGCTCCATCACACAAAATTTTAGGACTCTCAACAGTATCAGGGAGTACAACTCACTAGCACTCTACCCCGAGTCCACACAATATATAAGTGTATCATCTCATCAGTGACACAAACACAGAATAAATCTATACAAACCTAACATAGACTGAGTCTACAAAGTTGGGTAAATATGTAATAATTTCACTTCTTAGACTGTCCTGAAACTGAGTGTTAACAGTAAACATAATAACGCCGATAATGTATAATCGGTTAAAATATATACATTGTTATACATTATTTCATGAACATTCACTTAAGGAAAATTCATGAAAATATAATGTTTTCTCATGCTTGTGAAGGTTAATTATTCTAAGGTGTTTCAGGTGCTCTCATTTTTATCCATCAATATAGTATGTCTCTGTCCAACGACAAAAAAAGAAAATAATAAAAATATTGTCCGCCAGGAGTCGAACCTGAGTCTACCGTTGCAAACTCGGCCGTGCTAACTGTTGCACTTCAATAACACTGCATTTCACGTGTATTTACTGCATTATAATTGAAATTCATGAAGTTCTCATTATTACACTTAGGCACATAAATCTATTTGTAATATATTCATATTTTCAGGATTTGTTTTTAATATATATTAAATGAAAACAAAATGTTTTAAATAAAACAATGATAATGTTGATTTTGATCATAAATTCTGCCGCTGCCATACATAGGATGGTTGGTGAGGAGGGTGATTTGATGTTAGTAAAAGGCTCTTGATTCAAGGGATTGGAGCTCTTCTTCCATTCCTCGCATCGATCCTAGTTGCCACCCATTCCCCACTGTGTGTGTCGGCCTCCAGACTCACTACTTCACCATTAAAGTAATAATTTATTCAACTTCAGGATAAATTCTGTACATAATGATGTTTGACATTATTTCTAAGATAAAGTAGGAAAATTATGGATGTTTCTTGGTAGATAAAGATGATAAATAGGAATGAAAAGGAACAAAATGGTTTCCTGCCTGAGACTGTTGAGTTAGAAGTCATCAAGCTGACAGCTGTACCACAGAGATCAGTTGAACTTGAGACTGGTACGTTAGAAGTCATCAAGCTGACAGCTGTACCACAGAGATCAGTTGAACTTGAGACTGGTACGTTAGAAGTCATCAAGCTGACAGCTGTACCACAGAGATCAGTTGAACTTGAGACTGGTACGTTAGAAGTCATCAAGCTGACAGCTGTACCACAGAGATCAGTTGAACTTGAGACTGGTATGTTAGAAGTCACCAAGGTGACAGCTGTACCACAGAGATCAGTTGAACTTGAGACTGGTACGTTAGAAGTCATCAAGCTGACAGCTGTACCACAGAGATCAGTTGAACTTGAGACTGGTACGTTTAGAAGTCACCAAGCTGACAGCTGTACCACAGAGATCAGTTAAACTTGAGACTGGTACGTTAGAAGTCCTCAAGCTGACAGCTGTACCACAGAGATCAGTTGAACTTGAGACTGGTACGTTAGAAGTCATCAAGCTGACAGCTGTACCACAGAGATCAGTTGAACTTGAGACTGGTACGTTAGAAGTCATCAAGCTGACAGCTGTACCACAGAGATCAGTTGAACTTGAGACTGGTACGTTAGAAGTCATCAAGCTGACAGCTGTACCACAGAGATCAGTTGAACTTGAGACTGGTACGTTAGAAGTCATCAAGCTGACAGCCGTACCACAGAGATCAGTTTGAAACTTGAGACTGGTACGTTAGAAGTCATCAAGCTGACAGCTGACCACAGAGAATCAGTTGAACTTGAGACTGGTACGTTAGAAGTCATCAAGCTGACAGCTGTACCACAGAGATCATTTGAACTTGAGACTGGTACGTTAGAAGTCATCAAGCTGATAGCTGTACCACAGAGATCAGTTGAACTTGAGACTGGTACGTTAGAAGTCACCAAGCTGACAGCTGTACCACAGAGATCAGTTGAACTTGAGACTGGTACGTTAGAAGTCATCAAGCTGACAGCTGTACCACAGAGATCAGTTGAACTTGAGACTGGTATGTAGAAGTCATCAAGCTGATAGCTGTACCACAGAGATCAGTTGAACTTGAGACTGGTACGTTTAGAAGTCATCAAGCTGACACGTGTACCACAGAGATCAGTTGAACTTGAGACTGGTACGTTAGAAGTCATCAAGCTGACAGCTGTACCACAGAGATCATTTGAACTTGAGACTGGTACGTTTAGAAGTCATCAAGCTGATAGCTGAGACCACAGAGATCAGTTGAACTTGAGACTGGTACGTTAGAAGTCATCAAGCTGACAGCTGTACCACAGAGATCAGTTGAACTTGAGACTGGTACGTTAGAAGTCATCAAGCTGACAGCTGTACCACAGAGATCAGTTGAACTTGAGACTGGTATGGTAGAAGTCATCAAGCTGATAGCTGTACCCAAGATCAGTTGAACTTGAACTGGTACTTAGAAATCTCAAGCTGACAGCTTAAACCCCAGAGATCATTTGAACTTGAGACGGTACGTTTTGAATCATCAAGCTGACAGCTTACCACGAATCATTAAACTTGGACTGGTACTTAAAGTCATCAAGCGACACTGAAACCCCAGAGCTGAGTTTAAAAAGAACGGTAAGTTAAACCCAGCTACAGCTGACCACAGAGACATTGAACTTGGAAATGGACGTTAGAATCATCAAAACGAGCTGTACCCACAGAGATCAGTTAACAGGACGATCCAAACACCAAAATAAAACAGGGGGAACCCCTAAAAAAAACAATGAAATGTGACAGGAAACCAGTCCAAACTCTGAAATCTGACAGGGAAACCCCCCAAAAAAGTGAAATATACAGGAAAGCCGCCAAACATTGAAAATGAAAAGGAACCCTCCAAAAATTGATATATACAGGAAACCCGACCAAACAATGAAATATAAAGGGAAAACCCGTCCGAACGTGAAATATGACAGGAAACCCCCCCCGAACATGAAATATGACAGGGGGCCCCCCCAAATAATGAAATTTGAAAGGGAAAACCCTCCAAACAGTGAAATATGACAGAAAACCCTCCAGAACAATAAATAGACGGGAAACACGTCCAAAAATTAAATATGAAAAGAAACCCGTCCAAAATGAAATTGACAGGAAACCCCTTTTAGAACAATGAAGGTGACAGGGAAACCCCCAGAACAATGAATTATGACGGGAAACCCGTCCAGAACAATGAAATAGAAGGGAAACCGGCCAGAACAAAAAATATGAAGGGAAAACCCCGTCCAGAAAGGTGAAAATTTTGAAAGGAAACCACAAAACAATGAAAAATAGAGGGGAAACCCTCCCAAACGTGAAAAATTAAAGGAAACCCCTTCCAAACAAGAAATTACAGGGAACCCCGTCCAAAAAGGGAAAATGAGAAGGAAACCAGTCAAAACAATGAAAATGAGAGGGAAACCGTCCAAAAAAATGAAATGAAGGGGAAACCCCCCAGAACAATGAAAAAATGACAGGGAAACCCTCCCGAAAAAAGAAATATGAAAAGGAAAAACCCTCCAGAACAATGAAAATGACATTAAACCCACCAAACAATGAAATTGACGGGGAAAACCCCCCAAACAATGAAATATGAAAAAAACCCTTCCAAAGAATGAAATATGACAGGGGAAACCCCCCAAACAATAAATATGACAGGGAAACCCCCTCCAAAAGGAAAATTTACAGGGAAACCCAAACCAGAAAAATGAAATATGAAAAGGGGAAACCCTCCAGACAATGAAATATACAGGAAACACTCCAAACAATGAAATATGACAAAAAAAACCCACCAAACAATGAAAAAGACAGGGAAACCCCCTCCAAACAATGAAATATGACGGGAAACCCGTCCAGAAAAAGAAATATGACACGGAAACCCGTCCAAACAATGAAAATGACAGGGAAACCCGTCCAAAACAAAGAAATATGAAGGGAAAAAACCCCTCCGAACAAGAAAATGAGAGGGAAACCGTCCAAACAATGAAATATGACAGAAACCCGCC